CGGACAAAATCGTAATCGTACCAGACATGCAAGAAATGTCGGCTGCATGCAAAATATTCCCGACGACAGCCAATAAGGACTTCGGGATGGATACTCGTACAAGAAAAATCAAGAATTAAAGTCAAGAAAATAATAACCCAGCGAAATGAAGCAATGTAATATCTTAGTCAGGGGCCGAGTAGGTGTAGCCGTGTAATAAGATAATACACAGCAACTTTCAACTGATCCAAGCTGACGCAAAGACAACATCTAAACGAAAGTTCAGCACAAAGACCTATACCCAAGCACCCACTGACCTCGCTAAAGGTGTCGCATGCATACATACCTGCTCTACCATGGGACAGAATTTTTACAATTTTAGTGGCTTTGCCAAGTGAATAACGACGTCCTACCATAAGAGAGATGTATTTTCACTCTGTTTCGGATGGCAGGATAGAGAACGTTTGCTCAGAAGACACCTTTCTACAAAACTCAAACAATGGTGCTCCTAAGATGCGTGTTGTTAGATTACGAGCACTACACTTGCTAAGCGACAGATTCTCATCCATGTATCGAAAAAAATATGCATGGTTCTCCTCACATTGCCCCCTTCCAGTGATCAAATCTTTATTGAGATATGTCAAGTATAAACGAGCTACTAACAATTTATAATTACATAGAGAAAGCGTCAAAGTAAAGCTAGTACTTTAGTTTTAGCACAGGCTTAGGCAAGCATGACCATATCTTGCATGGATTGATCGCGTACTATGTGGCAGCCGTAGCTTAGCTTGTTGTCAATGATCTTAATATAAGGTGTGCGGTTGGGCGTAAGTATTTGGCAAGGAAGGTCCTTTACCTATGTTTAGAGCGTTTGGCTTTGCTCTATACGTATCACTCAACCTAGCGTATCGTATTTAGGCTGAGCTACATCTGAAGAGCTTCACCAGTACTTTGAACTAATTCGTCGAATGCTGGCACCGGACAGATAAAAAATCATCACTACCAATGCCCGCGCAGATCGTCACAGATTCAAGCAACTGATGAAATAATGATACGGTGGCCACGGTGGTGTAATTCTAACCTCACGACATTCAAGAAACAGCATATTATTTTCTACCTTCATGAGTTGACTAAACAGTGGTTGAATATTGATGGGTGATAACAATGTCGATGCTTTTTGAAAATATATTGGTATAATTTTGTTATGAGCTTTTGGGTATGTTAGTCCCGCTACCAGTGTGCTTGTTTACGCAGCTGCCAAAAGAAGGTGAAGAGGTTATCCAGCTGAATTCATTACAGATGTAGAACTAACGAGGATCAGTATTAAACCAGATCGGAAGTAGTCGTCTTTTCCGCAGTGCACGGACTTCTGAGGTACTATTCAGTGACTGTCAGCTAAGTAAAGTGATCCGTTTGTTATCGCGATCTTTCTGGTCGTATTTTAACACTGTACGCAATTCGTTGATCTACCATCTACCAATTTTCTTGTAGCTGTGAGGACTTTTATTCCAATCGATCATCTGCATACTTGACCAGTATATTTAGCACTTGGCTATCGGTTGGCAACCACAGGACTGAAAGCGATAATCGCTTGTCTGGATACGTTTGTAAGATTTGAGAATGCGCTGGTTGGGCGCGTCCGCAAGGATTAGGCTTTGCTCTAAACGGATGCACAGCGCACAGCGCTTGCAAAATTTAATCTCAGGGTCGTACGCAAGTATGGGCACTTTCGAGCAATACTTGAGTAAAAGAGGCGCTCTCAACAAGCGGTAATCTGAAGCGACAGTTGTTGTGCGCTTTTTTGTTCCGCGTACCTAGGCGTATTGAGAAAGTTATGTTTATGAGGTCTCCAAAAGCTCAGACTATGACCGTCTGCGTCCACCATTTCTATTTCGGGTAAGCAATGGGCGACGTATTCAAGTCAGAGCACAGCTTACGGCAAACAGTTCGATGGGAGAATGAGCACGCCAGATACAATGGATCTCAGTCATGCTGAGGATGTAGGGAGAGGTGTTAGCTGCTGAACAGCCCCGCTGAGCCCGCAGAGATTTTATATGCGGTAGTAAAATTATCTGCGCGATGTGTGCCCCCTTCGCTCTCGGTTGAAGTTTTCAAAAAGTTGTAATTCCAGTAAGAGCGGTGACGAACACCTTCACGGATAACGTCAAGATCCGGTGTATAAAGTTTTGGTTGATCAGGACAGAACAGAACTTGATTATACCTCTTCAAAGTTGTGATAAGTGGATAACAGTCATAAATCATAAAAAGGCGGGGCTTTTTGCTCAGGGTTATCGGTTGATGAAATTAACGTCCTGGGCAATCCGAAGTCATGAACAGTTCCAGTTCTTAAAGATTCTGGAGCGTCGTGCAATTACGTACGACGCGTGACTGATTAAAAGCAGACAGTACACGGAGAAAATGACAAAACCACACATGGATCCGATTTCAGCGAGACACTAGTAAAAAGACTGAATTATTTCAGCATCCAAGTGACACTAGAGGAATTTGACAGCGTGGAACGTTATCTAGCCCCAAATCTCGACCTCAATATGAAATATAGTTTCAGCCAAGGTTTGACGTGGTCAAAACGCCTATAGACATGGGTTGAATGCAAGCCGGAAAATCTAGGCGCGCTGCTTTTTAGGCATTGAAAATCCACTTATGCCAGGAATAATGGTGCTTTTGCTACGGGCACGAGGCTGTGGTAACTTCCGCGCGGAAAATGAATGTCCGAAAGGGTGGTTCATGCAGAACCCCCGGATGTTAAATCAGCGGTGAGTCGGGGTCTTAAGATGAGACGAAAAATATATAAATATATCGCTCTCTCTGTTTTTTTAAATAGGAACAGACGACTGGGTGTCATATTTATCAAGTGAATCTCTGACGGGGAAACAAAGACTAGCTGCAAGCTGTTGTCTTCTGCGCCAGGATAAGTGGATAATGGAAGCACCTTGGGTGTCGCACTTTATAGGTTGTAGTGCGTGGAATCGAAAGAAGACTGTAAGCCGCGAGTTGATGGACCATGATCTGGAGGTAAGAGCGATAGATTATTTCTGTGGCGGTGTGACGGCACTGCTGATCAGCAATACAATGTAATGAATTTACCGAGCGAAGCAGCAAAGCTACGTGCTTTCGTGGTGAGAAAAATCATAACTGGCTGGGTAGTTCCAAAGGGTTCCTCAGCATCTCCAAAAAGTCGTCTAAAACTGAAAAATTATCCCTCAGGTATATATGCAAGGAATTTCACATGGTGAGTCCAACGAATTATAACCGTTGGTAAGGAAGGAGGAGCTAATCTTGTCATCCAAAATTGATGAATTTATCAATGAGGAAACTCACAGCACACTGGGAAATCGCATTTGAGTCGCGCTAGCTGAATCAGCTAAGCTTAATTACTTTGTTTATGACATGACGCTACTTGCAATGTAGTACGTCCTCGTCAAGTCGAGGGAACATATGCGAGTCTTCCTTATTGTGACTAACCCAGAGCATGCATTCGTTTTGTAAAGATACGTGGGCACCACGGCTCTTATACAGTATGGCAACATGTTTATCCCATCTTGCCGATTATACCTTTGAGGTAAGATATAAGCCAGCTCAGCTTAATGTTGTAATCGAATCGTCTTCACCGTGAATTGCTGAATGTCATAAAAGTGATGTCGTCAATTGATAAGGCGATATGTACAGCGTATGGAATTGTGTTGAACGACTGAAAACTTTTAAATGATAACGTTTGAGAGCTCGTATTAGGCTTTACCCAGACGTGCAATTCGACGCCACACTGCTATGCCTAAATTCTACGCTTGCTACACTACAGCACTTCACTCAGCCTGTCGTGGTGCCCCACGATCGGACCTTGAAAAGTAATACACTGCACAAAAAAACTTCGTGTGGCGGACACTCAAAAATAATACTGCTATGTGACTGCTATGTCAATATGTACAATTGTGTGAGCATAATGTGCGCACGTGTAAACGTGTAAGCAGGTTGAACGCTTGCCGCATGCGGCGGCACGTTGACCAGCCTGTCAGTTCCGGTAAAGAGCTGGTAAATTAACAGTGTGATTCATCTTATTCGCATCTCCAAAAGACGCGTCTGGTATTCATGTCGCTGTGGTTTCGCGGGTAGTCCGAACAAGATGCACCTACTGTCGTTGGTAGTTTGAACGGGGAGATTACAGCCAAGCTCTACCTTAACAATGTGTTTAGCCATCATCCGCGCTAATAGCAAACTTTTTGCAAACGTTTTCCAAGCCAGACAAGATGTCAGCTGTGATGATTCGCAAGCCGATGACAAGACCAAACACAAGAATTACCTGTTGTGCGATATCCTTTGAAGCACTTGCGCGGAAAGACCGCGATGCAGAAAATAATTCCTCTATCTCATTGAAATCGCGTAAAATATCGCAGTCCATGTGCTTACAGGCTTCATCCCTTATAATAAATAAAATTAGTGGATTCTAGGATATCCTTCGATACCGTCACTAAGAAGCTCTTGTATTATGATGTACGAGATGCCCATTTACTTCAAGTTGATGAGGCGCGAACAATCACTTGGCGGAGAAGTTTTGAGGAAGTCTTCAGGTTAGATTTTATGCTCGAATTTATCAGGTTTCCCTAGATTCAACCTAAATTTACCCAAATTATTGAATTTTATATTTAGATTTTTCATGGTAATACTAGATTTACCCAAAATTATGAATCAGATCCATTTGTAGGCTTTATATTTATAGAACCTAGGATATAATGGGGTGACACGTACCCTTGTAGAAAGGGCGGGTCACTCAAGATGGTGGGGCCGCTCATAAGTGTGGATTATAGAAGTTGTGTAATCACAGAAAGGTATGGCTATAGGTAGGCGTTCGCTTCGCTGATGCTGGCCCATAAAAGCTTTGAGACGGAAGAGGCAGCGTGCTAGTGTGCAAACTGAGTCACATAAACAGTCGGTACATTTGCCGGGTCTAGTACCTAGCGTACATGTTTCATAGGTGACCATATGTGGGTTGGGAGAGGTTAAATGTTAGCAACTTTTCCCGCTACTTTCAGGTTATGAGCAAAAGGCCCAAACACATAGCCGTGAAGGAAGCTTTCCTTGTGAAACGGCCAGGCCGTGTATCTCCGGGTAAAAGCGGAGGTGTTTGGTCGGAACTTGAACTGCTCTCTTCGAACGGCACCTCGTCACATCATCATCAAGATTTTTTTACAAGCGAGTTGGTCACGATGGCGCTTTTTGGAGGGGTTGTTGAGTTGTTTGAGCCGGCACACGGGAGTAGATTGTTCCACGCTAGCTTGACGAACAATTTTGATCAAAAGTGTAACTACGTCATGTTTTGAGCAAGACTCGGTGTGTCTCTCGCGCTTGCTGTAAATCCAGCTGGACTCTTTGTTAACGAGCTGGACACTGACGTGGGCGTGTAGAAATACTTATTGCCGATTAAAATAAGGCACGAAGTCTGAAACGCAAACGGTGGGATTGCTTGGAAAGTGAGCCAATGTGCAATTACGCCTTGAAGAGTAAAAAATGGGAGGTGCATGTCGGAATTTTCGGGTAGTGGATGCACGTGGAGCGGTCACTTTGTGCGGTGTTTCAATAAGGCGAAGTAAGGTAAGACTCACTGTGAATCGCAAATTTGAGGTGGAGAGTGTAATGGGGTAAGTATTGTACACATCTGGTACGAAGAAGATGGAACTGCGATAAGAGGGATATGAGGTATAGCCATATGTCAGAAAAGACAAGTATCGCAAGCGATAATATGAGTATATATACTGTAGTACTCATACAGATACATTTGTTTTAAATATATGTACTTATAGCAGAGCGAGCCAGCAGCTACGTTCTTTAGAGGCCCGAATAAAAGAGAAGAGAAGAGAAAATAAAAGAAAGAAAAGAAAAGAAGCTCGGGTAAGGATGTTCAATCCCAACGTTTCTGCTCTATTTAACAGGGATTCTGGGTGTCACAACTTCTTCTGTCCAAGTGTATACAACCTCATTGATCTTCGGCTCCGAGACTGATCGAGCGTACGCCACCATTCTCCATGCTTAGCTAAAGCGGGCTCTTGTTGTCAAATTTCTCTGTGTAAGGTGCACTGCGATCCCGTTACACTCGCTGTAGCGGGGCTACCGTTGCTTTTTTGCTTGGTTTAGGTCTTAGAGCCGGTACGTGTGTAGCGGATCGCAATCTAGGGTAACTGTAACCTTAACCCAAGGCTTAATAACTCTTCCGCTCAAAACGGAAACTGCATCTCTCGGTTTCATTTGCAGCAAAGCTGCCTATATTTATATGTGTATTCCTATCTGGATAGGAATACACATATATCATTGTACACTACGGGTTGTTCACTTTAAATGTAGCCGCACCACATGATTTAGCGACCACACCATCTTGCGTGACCCACACCTTTCATACCAGGGCATGTGAAACCCCATTACACTCACGTTCTAAGCGTTTTCTACAAAATATGTTGAAGGAGATACACCGGATATATATATTTACTTCAGACATCAAAAATTACTGGCATTTTCACCAATCAATGTAGTATCAGTGTATAGATTCCAAATATGTTTTGAAGTGGACAACGTTAATTTCTTCCTTTACACTAAGTCAGCGTAAACACCAGATAGGTGTATTTTGGTCAGCCGTGCCAATTTTTCTACATACGATTTTACGATGATGGATTAGACTTATATGGAGATGAATGATCATTTACAATGAAAATCAAACTTAAGAAAATAAACTTAAAAATTAAAGAAATTAGATGCTGAAATGAATATTAAGCCTTGCTGTCGACCGCAACTTTGACAAAGTCACTGCTTAAGGGCGTTAGACTCCTCTGGCATGTATCTCGGCACATTTAAAAACGAAATTTTTCAACCTTTGTCCATTAAGAAAATTGGTCCAATTGTCATACTTAAAAAAAGGAGTAAAATGACGGAAAGCCACAATTTGGGTCATGGGAAGGCGAACCAAGATCAAGTTACTATGGTAAATACTATTTGATCAATGACGATCACAGGATTGATGGGAAGATCTGGTTGAGTGTATATAGCAAATGAGGAGTCTTCATCTATCCACCATAGCTTTTTCTTTGAGTGCAGTAATAATGATGTCAATCCTTTACAGGGCCAAGCTGAACATAAGGAACCATAATACGTTAACCAGTAACGCCTTAATCTTTAAGATTTGACCGAATCGTCTTCTCGTCATTATAGTTTCTCTTAGGTTAATTGATATCCTCATGTTATTTCTATCGTAAACGATGCTAATTGCACAAGAAAACGCGCATCGTATGGAAAAGCGATATCGTAGCTATGCACGTGCAAACGGGATGGCGAATCGAATGTGGCGTCTTTGACAGACTCACACTCTCACGAATGTATAGACAAACCCTCAAATCATTCACTCTTCAAATTACCAAGCGGCTGTCCATTTCTTGAGCAGAAAACAAAATAGGAGTGATCATGCTCAGACGTAGCGCTCTCATATTGGCAGTGGCGACTATGGCAACTATAGGCAGCGGTTCAGCTCGAGTCTCTGATACCACATCGACATCTTCGGCCTATTTGATGACGACAAATCCTACAGCCACTGAAGGCAATCGACTACTTCGTGGTGCAAGTGCGAATGACGCCAGTAAAGTTCCAGTCTATCATTATCCACCTGAACAAGATGAAAGGAGCAAGAAAGCACCTTTTATCGAGGATCGACTGAATGAAGAGTTGACGAACCCTGAGTACGTTAATCGGCTTTACGAACGATGGTATTCGGAGGGCTTATCGTCAAATGAAGTCGCTTTAGGTCTGGATCAGATCGATAACCAAGAGGTCCAAGAGACTTATCAAAACCTCGGATTGGGCTATAGAGAGTATATTGATTGGAGGAACAGTATGTAGTTAGGTCATTAAAAGTATGTGCGTTGAGGGATCAAATTTGATGGGTCCCACAATTAGTAATCCAGAATTTATTGATGCTGTACGATGATAAAGTACTACAAAACCAGAATTGACGAAATTTGACATCAAACCATGTCCCTTAAGCTGCAGATCAACCATAAGCATCGTAAAGGTGCCGCTAGTAGTGAAACACTTTGATTAAAGTAGCGCTATGTCTTAAGCTCTCTACTGCATTATTGCCGATTCTATAAACACCTGGCGGAGAATTTACATTCATGGAAGACACAATGATAAACAAAGAATTTTTAATTATTTAATCCAAGATAAACAGGATTTACGTTAGTGTGACAACCGAGTTTACTGCACTAAATTCTATACTATATCAACTCGCTTCACAAGATACAGTTGTCCACATGAAAATTGCCGTTTGATGTCTGAGGAATAAAACTGAAGCTCGATATATATTTATATATTAAATTAGGCGACATGATTAGTCGTTTATAGCTGGAAGTTATAGCCTGTAATATTTTTGCGTTTCGGGACTGAGCAATCGTGCGCCCTAAAAGAAGTCATTAAACTTGACAGGTTTATTGTGAATGTGCTTTATTTCAATTTCATTGATGGCTGATTCTGGAAAAAAATGGAATTCTTCAATATGCGACTGCGTACATAATCTACGGCGACGATGTCGGGGACGCGGATTTATCAACTCTCAGTTCAAGTTTTACAAGATTTAAGTCGCGTGTCAGGAAGAATGAAGTTTTCATTTGCTCGTTTGCGCAATATGCGCGGAATAGTAGAGCAACCAAAGGTGTCTGTACCAGTGCCAACGGGGCCTAAAGCTAAGAAAGGATTCATGATGGTCTCTTCGCACGACGTTGAGATCTACCCATTGGTTGTGTGCGTCTCGGTTGGTCTTGGTATTGGCGCCTACAGTCTTGTGCGCCATATTATGTCAAATCCAGACGTCAATTTAAGTCGCGATCGCCGCGAGACGCCAGCGTGGGAGCGCTACAAGCCTGAAGAAGGAAAAGCTTTTTCGCAGAACCGTCATCACTTGGCTAATCTAAAGCCAAATCCAGTCAATACGTTTCCAGAGGCTCTTAAAATTCAAGAAGACTCTAAATGATTGCTTGCGATAGTTGTACCCTTAACTTGACGGCTTTTCATTTAATAAATATCAATTTTTATTTTCGTTATCTTGAAAAAGTTCTTATCATGATTGCCGGTTTACAACAATATGCATTTTCAAATAGCAACCATTTCCTTTTTAGAATAAGCATCTATATTACTATTAAGAAAATGATTACTTTGAGATTTTCTTACTATTTCTTACGAGTAATCTTTCAGTTACGCATATCCATCATATTTGTGTTTGTCTCAAGTACGCAGGGAAATCTGGTGATGGCTGATGTATTACGTGGGGTGTTCCTCAAAAAAATAAATACAGAATATGCGACCTCAACATTCCATTCATTCATACGCTCAGTTTGCTTTTTTCGGGATTCATAACACGGTAGGTGATACGAATGAAAGTAACCTTTGCTCGAATGCGTAGCATGTTTGGAGTGTTGGAGCAATCTGAGGTACCTGTGACGGTACCGACCGGTCCAAGATCTAAAAAGGGTTTCATGATGGTGAATTCGCGCGACTTCGAAATCTATCCACTAGTCATATGTGTCTCTGTAGCTTACGCGATCGGCGCTTTTAGTTTGATACGTCACGCCATGTGGGATCCTGATGTGAATGGGAGTCGATATCGCCGCGAGACGCCAGCATGGGAGCGTTACAAGCCTGAAGAAGGTCAGGCTTTTTCTCAAAATCATCGTTTGTTTGCCAATCTAAAGCCAAATCCAGTCAATACGTTCACAAATGCCTTCAAGAATTATAAAAGATAAATAAATACGAGAGTAAATTTCATAATGTTTGGATAGAAACATTTAATTGTTTACTCATTGTCATTAACCAATATTTCAGATCCATCCTATGTAAACAAAGTCAATTAGCACAATCGCGGAAGCAGGAAAATTGCTATTGTCGTTACCTGCACTCCATAGTAATTCACTTCGGCGCTGTCATCGTCTAGCAGCATTGGCATACTCTGTGGAGCATACGTCAAAACAATTAGCCAAAAGTTACACGCAGCTTGGTGTAAGTTCAGCTTACCCTTGCATCATTTCGAAACGAGAGCACCTGTGCTGAAGTTTCAATACCACACTTTGCCTCAATGAGAAACTTTAATTCCGAAACTTTCATCTGCTGAGATATCTTTTTTACCAAAGGCTCAAAAGATGTTGCTTGCATTGACATTGGAATGATAATGACTTTAATAAGGCTCGACGCCAGCTTTTGTGGGCCAATTGTCGATCCACCGCCCCCGAAGTTCCCACTCGAATCGATGGATATATCAGAATACAACTCACGCAAGCGAGAGAAGCGCGGATGAATTGCTAGCACACGTTCGCACTCAGACGCATTGTTATTCATGACTGCTAGTTCATGCAGGATACGCTTCAGGTATAATTGTTCAGCTTCCATGCGCTCTCGATCTCGAACAAGGCTGCCATTGAAGACTGCAATACGTTCGGTTCGGGCAATGACCAGCATCCGAGCCTCTCCAAGACTCATGTGCTTTGTCAATGGGTTCTTCGAAAAACGAAATTTGACTAATAGAGGATAAGCGTTGAGTGCATCAATTGAGGTCCACGAGTCTACCAGGTTGTCACTTAATGAAAGCATCGTCAGCTTTTGAAACGCAGAGTGAGTTTCAGTTTCATCAGTCACAAGCGTCACGATGCGATTTCCATTCAATATCAGCTGACTTAAGTTGGGAAACATAGCTCCGACACTACAAACTATTTGTTTCCAGGATGTCAGACAATTGAGGCTTAGATCCAGTACCGACAGTGCCATCAAACATTCACCACTCAATGTTATCTCCACCAACTCTTCGTCACTGTATTCATTATCAGCTACATGCAATTCCTCGAGTTTCGGAAAGTGACGCGTAACAATAGTTTGAACATTTTTCCATGGCAACATAGTTTGGTTCAGCACTAACACCTTCAAGTTTTCGAACACACAAGAATCTTCTATCATGTCTACTGGCTCATCTATCAAAAACCTGTTTCCACTTAGTATTAAGGACTTCAATAATGGTAATTCACGAATGATTGTAATCACATCACTCCATTTGCTAAGTAGATTTCTCGACAAATCAAGTTCCATCACCTTTGGAGCCAGCCGTTTTAGTCCCTCTCCTCCTAAAGCAACAATCTGACAACCAGACAACGAGACATTTTCTATACTCTGTAGTGTCTGTTGCATGCTTATTTTCTTTGCTCCAACAAGCTCAATGGGTTTTTCGCTACCCAGTGTCGTGCCCACTTCCCCGGCTACAACCACATCTCTCGAATTTGTCTCTTCGATACAGAAATCTTTCGTGTCTTTAAGATATCGCTCCATCAACCTCTGCAGTAGCGAGCTTCGTTCAGTTGTCTCATTAATGACAGTC